GAAGGAAAATCAGAATAAACCAGGATGGACCAATATCTGGAAAATTGATATTCCATGTTTTTTTTATTCTAACTTTTTTCTGACCTGGAAAATCCTAAAATTATATTCCAGTCTGTGTAGGAACCCTGTGATGCATAGAGGTTAAACGGTGATCTTACAATTTTTGCAGTTTTTCCACATTTCCTGAGGGTCTGCACAGCGGCGGAGTGCAGCGCCCCCTCCATGGACATGTTGTTCACCATAATCACCCGATCTTTCTCACTAGACACAAACGGAGAAGAAGTTCAAATGAAGCCAGACGCAGCTGCTTCGCTCTTTCACTACAGAAACCAAAGATACTCACAACAAGAGTCCCTCGGCGGGGCCTCCCTGCAGGACGTCCGACACCACGATGGACGTCTCGCCAGTCTCATCGTTTGGGTTGTCCCGTCCTCCAGACACTGCGATGCCGAAACCCATTTTGGAATCCTGAAAGCAGAAAGAAGAGTGTAAACGGGAAGAATACATCGAGAACAATCCAGGTTTGTCTGTCGGGAGGATTCCCCATGAAATGAAACCAAAGGTAAAAAAGAAATGTCAGAAGCATCTTGCTAACCAGTTAGTAACTTAGTGCTAATAGGTTCCCAATAAAAAATTCCATTATGACCAAGTAGCACTTGGTGACTTAAGGCTGATTTATTCTTCGAAACGAGGTTGTCTGCGTAGGTGTTGCAGTAAACAAATACTACGCATACGTTTCAAAATCTTGCATAAATCAAAAATGTCTGCTTCAAGCTCACTTCGACACACTGCCGCAGGAGTATAACCAGCCCTTTAGAAACGACACTGTCAAGGAACGCTATGGACAGCGGAAACATGCAAGAGAGGGAGAGTTTAGTGTCGGAGGTCGTGGATGAGTCTCCTCCGTCATCAATTTTTTATTTAGAGGAGGAAAGCGGGACAAAGTTGTTGTGGAAGAGGACGCCAGGGCGGCAGAAGCTTGGTTTGGTGTAGAAGGCTTCCAGCCGTACATGTTTGAGCTATTGCCTCGCAACGCTGCCAGTTCTGTTAGCTCTACGCCTGCTGAAGACACAGACGTCCATCCCCGTGAACACTGGGACGCAACTCAATGGTGAAGGAAATTAAACTTATTTCTTATTTCAACTGTTGCGTATATTAGCTGCGACATTTGAATCAAAATGCTATGACCGAAAAAATTTGATTGACGGAAGACAGTTATACGTCAGCTTGTACACCTAAATTCATCTAACTGGCCTGCATAAAATAATGAGAAAAAAAAAACAAGTTTTAAGACAGGATTTTTTTTTTTTAGCAGAAATTTTCTAACTTTTGGGACAATATAATCTGATAAAAGAGTACATTTATATACATGTTTAAGCCAGAAGGATTTGACATTTAATTATGATTTCTCTATGACTTTACAATAAAAAAAAAAAAATAATCACCAGCAGGGAGGCGTACTGAGGCATTAAATCAGGGGTCTTCAAGGTTTTCCAGGCCAAGGACCCCCAAACTGATAGCGAGACGGAGGGGGACCCCCTTATTATATATTGTATGAAACTACCGTAAATTCTCTAATATAGGCCCGGGCCTTTATTTCACTCAAGTGCATCGCGGTCCAGGCCTTTATT